CCAGACAGTGCCGGCTGGCGACCCCCAGGGGGAGGGCCTTCTCGGTGGGAGCCCCCACCCTCTGGAACGAACTACCCCCAGAGATCCGGGTGATCCCGGATCTCCCCTCCTTCCGCCGCGCCCTAAAGACATGGCTTTTTCAACAAGCGGGTCTGGCCTAGGGAATTTTAGCGGGGTTTTTTAAGGGTAATTTTTAAGGGTAATTTTAATGATTGGCCTTCTTAAATATTTTCTTTTAATTCGGTTTTTAATATAGATATTATTGTATTATTGTATTGTGGTTTTTATGAGGCTGTTAGCCGCCCTGAGTCCTATGAGGAGAAGGGCGGGGTACAAATTAAATTATTATTATTATTATTATTATTCCTTTCAGCGGGATTACCCCATTGTCTACTTTTGTATTCCTTTCCTCTTTGTCCTTTACTGGAATTAAATCAAGGTGAATAGTAAACTTTTTTTTTATTAATCTCCTGAGTTGGAGTGCAGATGCCCAGGAATGGGGAGTGAATTAGAGATTATAGGAGCTGCCCCAAATGGTGTCTCTGTTTCTACATCACATCCATTCACTAACTACCTTGCTGCAATCCAATGTAGGGACGAATCTTTGACGCTTAGATTGGGAACATTTAATAAATCGTTATTCATTATACGCATCCTGGCATTTTCCTTAATGTTCTTTTTTTTTTTTAATCTGATCCATAATGGTCATAGCTAGTAAGAATGTATTATTCTATTGCTCTTTGCGTAATCCAAATAGTGCATCTTAGAGATATTAAACAATTCATATTTGTTGTTTTTATTTTCAAGGTACTTACATATCAAGGATTTTATGATGACAATCTTGAGTGGGTTGGGTTGGAAAACATCCAAATTGTGGCATCCATGTCTGCTGGAGGAACAGTGGGAAGACATAAGCTTACTTCTAGGTTTACTTCTATAGTCCGTCTTTGTGCAATTGAGTAAGCATCTATGTATACCTATCCTATCCTATCCTATCCTATCCTATCCTATCCTATCCTTCCTTCCTTCCTTCCTTCCTTCCTTCCTTCCTTCCTTCCTTCCTTCCTTCCTTCCTTCCTTCCTTCCTTCCTTCCTTCCTTCCTTCCTTCCTTCCTTCCTTCCTTCCTTCCCTCTTCAATCTCGAGATTAACTTCAATACTTAATCTAAATGTACTTCATTTCTCTCTGGAGGTACAGCATCTATTTCTGAGTATATCTTAATACATGAAATATAATTGAAAAAGTTCAAGGAGTTTGGAAAAATGTTATCTGTCAAGTTTTAGGTTTTAAGGAGGAAAGTGCCTAGAGAAACCAGCCTTGTCTTATTAATTTATATATGCAGTTATTTATAGATTGTGTATTTTCAGAAAAGACTCAAGGAAGCTTGAAATCAGAGAATAGAACCAGTAGAACCAGTAGCTCATATAAGCTAAGCTAATTAACTAAAGACAATTATTGTATCACGAGTGCCCATCGTCTCTTGTTGGGTGAGGTCCTATGTAATTCTTTCCCTCAAAGTTCATATGGGACAGGCCAAATCTGGCCAGGTATTCAGGCACCAGCTTTTGTTACAGAATACTTTCTAGATATCATTGTTTCTCAGCCAGATAACAACTGTTCTGCTCTTAACTTAGATTTTAATAAATGTGACATTGTAACTGAATTTTAAACTTTCATTTTTTTAGTTATCCAGAAAGAGATCAGCTACAGACAATTTACAGTGCATACTTGGAACCAGTTCTTCACAAGAATCTAAAAAATCATCCTGCTTGGGGATCCTTAGCAAAAATATACCAGTTAGCAGGATCCATGGTTCAAGTATATGAGCAGGTATAACCTAAAATGAGCTATTCTGTAATATAGATGTTCTTTGTTGGGGCTTTGTTGTGTTTCCTGATGATTGCCTGTTCCTCTTATTACAAGTAATAAGGAGGAGATGGGCAAGTCAGATTTTGTATCAGCTATTTTAAACATATAGAAATTAAAATATCTGATTTGTTTATATCAAAGGATACACAATACATTATGAGGTAACTTGTGGTACCTTTGTAGGAGTGATTCAGTGTAATATATTAGTAATAGATTCAAGACATAAAGAAAGTATTCCTTAACTAAACACATATTTGATTGATGAAATGTGTTTTGCCAGAGATCTGGTGTGATTTTAAGAGATGATTGCAGATTAACAGAAAACAAGACTGCCGATGATCACAACAATAAGATTCTTAATCCTAATCTTCGTAGGACAATTTTTCCCCCCTTATGCCTGATTTAGGTGATGTTTGATAAATTACTCCTTCCTTTCTTCAGGATGTCATCCCTTCAGCAGTAAAACATATATTATTTAACAATTTGCCTCACCATTATCTGATGTGTTTTGTAGAATAAATGATAGTTTGCAGATTGTATCAAAGTTTGGTTTTACCTATCCTGAATTACATAAGAATGTTTCTTATGCAAACACAGTGGTGGAGGAAGGAAATGAAGGGTGAGGCATACCAAACTTGTCGTACCTGGTCCATGAAGCTACTCTAAATTTTCTTCCGTCTGAAACTTGGACCAATCACATGGAATCACTTGGTTCTGCCAAACTGTAGTCACCCAGAATGCTTTTGTAGGATTTCTAAAACACAGTGTGTTTGTTTTAGGATGAAAATACTGTACATTAGATTGATTTATATCAAGACTTATAAAATAAATTGTGTAACTAGTGTATCTGAACTGTGTGCAAGAAAGAATGAACTCATCAGTCCATTTAATTGACATGACTGCACCATATGCTTTCCTTTTATATGCTTTCTATATGATATAACATTTACTTAATAACTTATTTCTCAGGTATGAGAGATTTTATGAGAATATAAAATGATGGTACCTTTTCTAGATTGTACAGTATTTGGGGGCCAAATATCTTTGCCACTGTATCATTTCCTGGGATAGCTTTACATAGATAAAATAATATATTCAAATCTCTATGCTATAACTTGTGTAACATTGCTCTATTGCTTTTTCAGAGAGCTTCCAATCCAAGTCTCTAATAATGAATGTAAAATTCTGAAGACTTTAGACTGTGATTGTTTTACATGGAAATTTGTCCATAAAATGTTTTGAACAAATGTAGAATAATATTACAATGTGTTGCAAAAAATAAGGGCAGGGTGAAAACAGTAGAATTGACACCATCTGTATTTCCAGGTTCGAGCCAAATTCACAGTTGATGACTACAGCCACTACCTTTTTACACCCTGTATTCTTACTCAATGGGTTTTAGGTTTATTCAGATATAATTTAACAGGAGGTGAGTAATCCAAGCTTAATTCGTATGTCCGAACGCCTAATTATGATTTTTGCCAATTTTTATTTCTGACTAGCATTCTCAGGTTATCTGTGGATATTATAGAGATACTTATAAAGGAAGCTGGAGATAAGGTTAAGAAGTGAGAAAATGTTTCAGTATGTTTTTCATTAATCCAGTTGATGAAATCATCCTTCATTATAAAATTCATTTTATTGTTTTTACCTAGTTTTTAATCTTTCTTCCTGTCCATTGTTTCCTGTAATAATTAGCATTCCATGGCCATTAGATCACATAGCAGTTTTTATATTTTTTTATATTTTTAATGGGGCAGGAGAGGGGGGAAGTGCTCACACATGTTTATTGATGCCATCATACCAGTGTTGTGTGACTTAATGTATTTCTTAAACCCCAGGACTCAAAGATATAATTGCAGCATTTTCTTGACATTAAAGCATATGTATCTTCATGTTGGTGTCACTGCAGTTTGCTGCAGAACTGCTGGTTTCTAATAGTGGGGGTTCACCTGCAAATAATTTGTTCTTGTCCAAACTAAGGTTGTACCCCAGTTCTGAGAGGCATTGTGGGATCATGGTAAAGGTATTGGATTAGGTTCAGGGAGACCAAATTCTAATATCTTCTCAGGAAGTATGGATGCTCCCTGGGTGACTATGGACCACACTCCCTTCTCTTAGCCCAACTTACCTCACAAGGTTGCTTTTGTCTGAAAAATAAGAGCATTATGTATGCCGTTTTAAGCTCCTGAAGATAAAACAGGGTATAAATCTAATAAATACCTCCCTATTGCACTATTTGAGGACTGGTGCTGTCTTTGCTAATATAGGAAGCAGGAATAGTCATGTTTGATTTCAGGAAACAGGTAGAAATATTAATCACAAATAACATTTTAATTTATTCCATAATAACTATGTTTGCGGTTATAAATAATGAGCTTTCTCTAGGGTATTAAAGATTAGCACTTTTGATTAACGATAACTTGTAATATTTTTTTTTAATTCCTCCTCACTCCCTAAAGATAGTGGCATTCGGGGCTCTAAACGGTTTGTCAGGATTGATTGGGGATGAGCAGACATACATAGATTTAACTGCTATAATCTTATGACCAACAAATGTACCTTGAGTCCATTCTGAATACAGTAGTTCTTCATGTTAAATTGTTTTGCATTCCTGCTTGCTGAAAGACTAAGTGGCAAGTTTTCTTAAATAATTAACCAACACTGGCCTAAATAAAAATATATTTGTCTTGGATTTTGTATGAATTATTCATTAAAAAAAGTAAACAGAATTGTATATTCTTAAAAATAAAATGACTCTGATATTTCATTCTCGGATTTTTTTTTCTGCTGCCTTTTGATGGTTATCTTCTGGTACGTGACATCTTTTTTTGTTTATATTTTTAAATTGAAGTGCAGAATTTCAGAATTTGAATACTATAATTTATAATGGCATGTTGTGAATGTGTACTTCACAGGCGGATTCACACACTCGGTAGATACTGTCTTGGAAATTGTTGCATATGAAGCAAAACGGCTTTTCCGTGACAAAATTGTTGGTGCTAAAGAAGTTCATGCATTTGATAATATTTTAATGAAAGTCTTTCAAGGAGATTGGGGATCTGATATTTTGGACAACATGGCAGGTAAAATAAAATATTGTAGACTGTTTTCCTCTTTTGCAATCAGGATTATTTCAGAATGTGAAGAATAATTCCATTGTATTTACACAGATACCTTTTATGTGACATGGGGAGCACACCATGAATTAGGCACCATCATGGCTCCAGGACAGACCCTGCCACCACATGGGAGGCCACTTGGCAAACTTAACTCAACAGACTTAAAAGATATTATCAGGAAGGTATGTTAAAACACACTCAACAAGCACATATAAGCACACATACACATTTTCAAAGATTTTTTATTTCAGATTTAGGGCACATACTCAAAAGAGTTTTTATCATTGGGAATTCAGTGGTTTTCACATTTGTCTATATATTTCAAAAGTGTCTTCATAACAACAGTAATAGCAATAATCTTTCAAAGGGTAACTTTCCAGAATGACAAGTCATGTTCTGCATGTTAAGATTATATTGCTCTGAGGAGATTGAATGTTCATGGAATATATAGAATATACTGTATACATACATGAGACCATGGTGACTCACACAGTTAGGACATTGGCTTGACAAGCAACAAGCTTGTGTTTGAGACCCAAATGTTGCTGTGGGATGGGATGAACTCCCATCCTTCGCTCCAGCTCCTTCAAGGGACATTAAAGGACCCCCTAATTGAGTGTCCCCCTAGGCAACAGTGATGTCACTGGCAGATCCTTTCAATCTAGAAATGCCTTCGTGCCTCTGACACCAGTGCGATATGATGCGATGCATATAGGACTTCTAATTCTGCTGGTCCTTTCCATTACTGTTACACTGTTACTGTTCTATTACACTTTCAGATGCATGTGTTAAGCAAAGAACAAGGTAATCATTTTCAGAGATTTGTCTTTAGGACAACTGTCAACTAACCCAATTAAAAACAGCTAAAACAGCAGCATAGAACAGGCAGTGAACTTAGGGACTGGACCAAAAGGAACAAATTCTTAGCAGACCTGTCAGGCCAATTTTAGTGAAGGAGATTGTGAGCTTTATAATAATAATAATAATAATAATAAAGTTGGAAGGGACCTTAGAGGTCATCTAGTCTAATCTCCTGCTCAGGCAGGAAACCCTATACAGTACCATTTCAGACAAATGGCTGTCCAGTCTCTTCTTAAAAACTTCCAGTGTTGGAGCTTTCACAGCTTTTGGAGGCAGATTGTTCCACAGATTAATTGTTCTAACTGTCAGAAAATTTCTCCTTAGTTCTAGATTGCTTCTCTCTTTGGTTAGTTTCCATCCGTTCTTCTTGTCCTGCCTTCAGGCGCTTTGGAGAATAGCTTGACTCCCTCTTCTTTGTGGCAGTCCCTGAGATATTGGAACATTGCTATCATGTCACCCTTTGGCCTTCTCTTAATTAAACTAGACATACCCAATTCCAGCAACCGTTCCTTACATGTTTTAGCCTCCAGTCCTCTAATCATCTTTGTTGCTCTTCTCTGTACTCTTTCTAGAGTCTCAACATCTTTTTTACATCGCGGTGACCAAAACTGGATGCAGTATTCCAAGTGTGGCCTTACCAAGGCATTGTAAAGTGGTATTAACACTTCACGTGATCTTGATTGTATCCCTCTGTTAATGCAACCTAGCACTGTGTTGGCTTTTTTGGCAGCTGCAGCACACTGCTGGCTCATATTTAAGTGATTGTACACTAGGACTCCAAGATCCCTCTCACAGTTGCTACTATTGAGCAAGGTACCACCTATACTATACCCGTGCATTTGGTTTTTCTTGCCTAAATGTAGAACCTTACTTTTTTCACCATTGAATTTCATTTTGTTAGATAGCGCCCAATGTTCAAGTCTGTCAAGATCCTTCTGTATCTTAAGACTATCTTCTTGGCTATTCCTGCTAGCTTGGTTTGTCTGCAAATTTGATGAGTTCCCCATCTATCCCCTCATCCAGATCATTGATGAAGATGTTGAAGAGCACTGGGCCCAGATCAGAGCCCCAGGGCACCCCATTACACACATGCCTCCATGTAGATGCAGTTCCATTAAGATTATATCAACATAAACACCTTCTCCATGCACTGTGAATTGTTCAGATGGGGATCTTTTCCTATTTTCCCAGAAAAAAGTGCTAT